GTTTGCTCTCTTCAAGTCATGTCAGTGTTTTTTGGCTTCTGCAAATCCTTGCTCAATTTGTTCTTTTTATTAATTTTTTTCATGCTTATGATGCTGTATTTTCACCTTATTTTTCACCTTTTAAAATATGTTGTTTTCATATTTTGAGCACATATCAATAAATCTAGCTTTCTTTGCCAAAAAAAAAAACAAACCACAAGTTTTACAGGTCTGGATTTTATTTTATATTCACGTTTAGATTTCCTTCACATCTGTTTCTTTTTTGCAAGTATTCTGAGGGAATAGTGCACTTTGCTTACCTTTTTTTTTTTATGAAAACACTCAAATTCTGTTCCTATTTAATTCAAAGTCATGTTCAGCTATCTGAAAAATAAAATCCGTTTTCAGCTCATTCTTGTTTCAAAATAAATAAGACTATGGTTTTAGGAGGCAGAGAGGAAGTTATGCCCTTTTGACCCAAGGAGCTAAGAGGAAGGTTGGGAGGAAGATGATAAAGAAAAAGCAAAGGAGGGCATGATTTGCATGCTGTGGTCATAGATCTTTAAAGTTTTAAATTATCCCAGTAGGAGGTATATGGGGAGCAATCCCAAGCAGAATGTGGAAACATGTTCTAGTCCACCACACTGTTCTGATTTTTTCTCCCTGTTCCCTGGAACCACAGTTTGGATATAGCTATTTCAGCACATTTCATAAAAGGTGAGGGTTCTGTGATCCTTTCAACAGGTTCTGGTTGGAATTAGTGTTTCTGTGCACTAAATGCTCCTGAACAATTACGTCAGTCTAGGAAGTGCACATTAGCATGGAAGTGGAAGCCTCAGCTACACAGATAGTTGAGATCATGATTCCTTTTCTGGACCTTCTTCTTCACTCTTAATCATTTCATCATTTTCTTCCTTTTATATATACATTTCTCTCCCTTGCAGCCTTTTGTCTTTTTCCTTTGTATTTATTCTTTTTACACCTCCCAGCCCTCTTGGTAACCTTTCAATGCCTGTTGGAAAGGAAAGGGACAAAGCTTATCTTTTGCCATTCTGCAGATGAAAATCCAGACGATTCATGCAAAGAGGTACAAAAAGATAGAAGGAAGGGGGGCTGTTGCTATGGGAGTCTTCTCTGCTTCCACCCTTCTGAAAAGGCTTATCCTTGGAGAGCCCTGCAGGATTCTGGGGACTCAGGAGAGGGAAGGGCTCTGAAACTCTTGCCTGAAGTAGAAATCAGGTAACTTAATCCTCCTTTTATCCTACAGGAACCTGAGGATGAATGGGTGTGCACAGCAAGTGTGACAGCAAGGCAAGAAATTAGAAATAGTCCTGTGGAGTAGAGGGTTAACAGAGAAGAATGGACAGGGATATCAGGGCTGTGCTATACACATCTCCTTGGTGTGTGGAAGGATAAAGAAAGGCAAGGAATGGCTCTGACCCTCACTTGCATTGGCCAGTAGGTACAGCTGGACAGTGAAATAAGTTACTCCCACCACTGAGTGGACAAGGACCTGGGGAGGAAGTCTTACTGCCAGCCTGACCCAGTGCTCCTTCTGGCCCCGGGCAGCTGAATACAGAGTCAGAAGTGCCCAGCTAGTAAAGCAAAGCAACAAATTGCATATAGGCCTTTCTCATAAACTCAGTAAGGTTTTCAAAGTCTATGTCATGACATCTTATGCCTTGCCATAGATTTTTCTTAGTGAGTCAAGCACCTGGTGCAAATAATTATCTACTGCAGTGAGTTAAACTTTTCTTTAATTAAAACTTTCTCCAAGCATCTCAGACATTTGAATTTGTTACCTTTATATTTATTAAACCAAACTTTCATACATCTCTCATACATGGATTGAAGTGTTATTGGAGCTTAGATTTTCAGGCATTTATTCCAGGCAAACATAAGCTTAATAAATGTCTGAAGATTGTGATGAAATTGTGGCAGAGAAGAATTTAGTCCAGTCTCTTCAGAATCCGGAAATATATAGGCAGCTATAATAACCTTACTTCATACTTGTGTGAGTAGACGCATACAAATTTCTCATCTGACTTCATTCTTGTTGACCATATTTGACAGCTGTTATATATAACTGTGCACTTAATATCTTCCCGATACATTTGACAATGAATAAAATGTAAAGTTTCTGATAAGGTGAATTGTATGTTTCCACTTAAATCTTCATTCATCATTAGTTTCTTTCGTTTGGTTTCTTTAGAAATGTCCCAGTATTTTGCCTACTGTGTTTGCAGTATACCTGTACTTAATGCTCTTTTGTTTCCTTTGTCTAGCACAAGATGCTGTTATTCCACAAAGTCCCAGGGAGAGTAAAAGAACGGAGAAAAAATGTTAATTTAGGGAGTCAATCTGCTCAGTGTTTTGTCCCAGCATCCTGTCCTCCTGCTGCTTTTTACATGACCTTTTGCACTGTGCAGAATTCATTACTATTGTAAAAAACATGGGTTTATTTCTCACAGAATTTCAAGAAACCCATGCCCTGTTTTGAAGTAGATTAGATTCACAAAATGGCAAAACTATGCCTTCTCCTAAAGCCTCAATTCAGTAGCAAGTTAGCTAATTAGACCTTCTAAACAAAAATACCCTAGGAATAACACCGAGCAGAAGGAAAGGAGAAAATACCATGATTGCTATTTGATATACCATTTCACTGCAGGACAGCACAGGAACCCTAACCAGGTCAAGACTACATTGTGTCTGTCAGGTGCTGTACACAATAAATAGCAGTTCCTGCTTCAGGAAACATGAAATTTGTGCATATATTTATAGCTGGGTTTGTGGCCCCATGGTAACTCATTTTGTGCTTACCTCTACAAATGCTAGTGTAGCACCCAGAAATGTTTGTTGCAGGACACAAACACCTGTGGTTTTCCCCGGGCTGAATCCCTGTATAGTTTCACTTCCACAGAAGAGTAATAGCACCTTAGTGTAAATGGAGTGGAGTAAGACCCTAAACACTGAGTTCTGTAACTGAAAGACACTTTATATGTATATATGTTTACTGAAAGGCCTTTCAAAGAGGCATAATTATGCAGGCATCTCTGTGTAATTTGCCTGGGTCAATGCTAATATTAGAAAGCACTTATTCTGTGTGTCAGATGTATTGCTGCAGTGTGTAGTCCCTGGCCTGCCTGTCTGTAATAAATCACTCTACAGAAGAACTAGACTAACCTGTATCTGTCTCAGCTGCTTTAATTGCAGACCACAAATACTGATAGAAGCTAAAATGTTTGCTCTGTCTAGACTGAGTGGAGAAATGGAGGCGCACATTGCGTTTGGTCTTTGAGGAGTACCTTCTGCTCCTTTTAAGGAGGCCAAGTCTACACACAACACCAGAAATTACAAAAATGGTTCCTTAAAAATCATTTAGATTAAAAATCATCTAGGTTAATATGAAATAATCAGGTTTGAGGGTGTACTTTCAGTCTGGAAGAGCATTTAGTGTCTCTGGGAAATGCTGGGTCAACTGTCCACCCAGAAGTAAGAGTAGGAGGTGGGACAGTGCCACCTTCCTTGTCCCATCCTAGAGGGGTATGGTCCTCCACTCACTGAAAGGAGCCAAGAATGCGCAAAGGCTGTCATTGGAGGCACACCATGCCGTCCTGTCTCCAGCATCCCTCCTGCAATCCCGGCTGCTGCAAGGGCAGGCAGAGCCGCCCTGGCCATCCAGGTGACAGGGGTGAATCTGTGACCTGAACCAGTAGCCAGTGATCAGGTTGCTGCTGTGAGGTCTCTTCCTGCAGACAGGCAGCTGTGAGGAGGGATGTGAGGCCACATCTCCAGAGGACAGGGGCAAGGAGGCGAGGCCCTGCATGCAGTGGTGTGAGCGGGGTTCCTGTGTGTTTCCCTCCACCAGGAAGCTGGGCACCCTCTTTTACTGGAATTACATTAAAAATGGCAGCCAAGGACAAGCACTGGATTATTTGCCGTCCAAAAGCCCCATGGCACTCAGAGCTTTTGGGTGGCAGGAATGGGCATGCTGGGCTGTGAGTCAGCCTCACTCTCCTCAGCGAGCCTATGGCCACAGTTTGAGGGGGGGCAGTCACCATCTTGCACCACAGTGCAGGCCTCTGGGCTGGGATGTGTTTTGTGTTCATGTTTGTACTGACTGCTGGGGGCTGGGGTGTCTGTCACAGCACCTCAGCTCTTCTTTGTGGAAATTGTGCTTTTCATTGAAGGGAGAAAGTCACTTTCTAGATCCCAATGTGACTAAAAGGCTCAGGAGCCAGCAGGCATATGAGAACAACTCAAATTACATTTGATTTGGCAGGAGGAAGTAGGTTTCCCTCAGGCACCTCCAGCACAAAGAAGACTAATTCATGATCCCTCCAAGGTGGGGTGGGCCATGCTGTGGCTGCATAGCATGGGGCAAAGGGGCCTTCACCTTGTCTTCATGAGGGACTGTAGTGCTAAGACAAGGGGTAATGGGTTCAAACCTACACAGGGGAAGTTCAGGTTAGATGTGAGGGAAGAAGTTCTTTACTGTGAGGGTGGTGAGGCACTGGAATGGGTTGCCCAAAGAACTGGTAAATGCTCCATCCCTGGAGGTGTTCAAGGCCAGGCTGCACAGAGCCTTGGGTGACATGGTTCAGTGTGAAGTTCCCCCAGCAACTGTGGGAAAGCACCCCAGTGGGAGAGCTCCATCCAAATCAGCACCCCTGACCCAGACTCCTCACAGCCCCAGTGGTCCTGCCTGTGGTGGCCATCAGCACCAGCCACGTTGCTGCCAGCAGCCATGGGGGCCCCTTACGCCGCAGCTGATCTGGAAGCCAAAGGCAGGAATTCCTGACTTGGCTGACCCGAGTCCAAACAACTGAGATTAAGAATGAAAAAAAAAAATAAAAAAAATAAAAAAGCAGTTAACCCTTTTCAACTGAGTTAATAATTGATGCGTTTTCCAGTCTTGACTCTTGTCTGTCTGAGAGCCGGAAGCAATGCTCCTGGAAAATCTTTGAGACACTGTTTTCACATGTTGCTTTGGCCCATGAGGGTCACAGAAAGCCCACCACCTGGGAAACCCAGGGCTGCTCAGCTTGTAAAAACACAAGCACCCACACGGCCGTGTCCATCCTCAGAGGCCAGGACTGACAGGCATCAATCTGGAGAAGGCTTTAAAGGGTTACCGGGCTGCAAGAGGGAAGGGTGGGGAGCGGAAGGCACGGGGGGGGGAACCGAGGTTCTCTTACAATCGTCAGATCAAGTCACAGGGTGGAGGAGGATTTTCCAGATCCTTTGACCTTAGGGCTGGGGAGTGAAAGGAAGAGGAAGCACATTTGCACAGATCCTCTGTCCGAGCTTCCTCAGGGAGGGGCTCGGGCCTCCTGGCCTTTTGCTGCATGCAGGGCCACGCACACACATACACACAGCTAAATAAACACGGGAATGAAGTTCAAAGTAGACCCACAGTAGAAAACCTAATCTACAGGAACCGCTATTAACACTTGTGTTCACCCGGGCCCCCCCCCCCCCCCCATATCTTAAACATAAGTGTTTAACCAGCCATAAAATAAAGTATTTGCTGGGTACCAGGAATACCTTGCAGTCCTATAGCACTTTCTAAGATTTTTTTCAATCACATTATGAGCCATTAAGCCTGATTATGCCTTTGGGTAGGCACTTCAGATGACTCAGAGAGGTAGGGAAACTGAGGCATAAGCCATAAATTAGTTGGTGGGGTCATTTGGGAACCCTGTGGTAGAGCTGGACAGGGAGCAAAGACCCCGTAGATGCCCATCACTTACTTTGCTCCTGATCCAAACAAAGCCCATTGAAAGCACCAGGAGTTTTGTATTGACCTTAAATAGGTTCTGGCTTAACCTCCTCTGCTACAAAGATGTCATCATTTGTATTTTATAGGATATCTGTCCTGCAGAACAGGTGTTTGAATCCTCAGTATTTTGGGACAGTAAGACATATTAGAAATAGGCATGAGAGAATCTCTCTGATTTCCCCATTTTACTTTTTCCTCATGAAGTGATTGTCAAAAGTAGCAATTTAAAGGTTCATTAACAACACAATCAAACCAAATAGCTCCTGGTTTTCTCTTTGTCCTCTTGGGTTTTGGGGTTTGTTGGTTGTTGTTTTTTTCCTCCTTATTTTGTTTTCAAGCTACAGGAAACCTTCATATGGGCCATTTTAGATTAGACACAGCATCCAGTGACTCTCCCTACAGTAGATTTTAAAGAACAATTAGGACATTATAACTGTAAAGAGGCACACAGACCTGCAAAATCATTCAGTAGTTTATGTTTCCTAATCCTGAATAATTCACCTCCTGCAGAACATTAAAATAATAACCTAGCATGCAAGGAATTCATGTCCTTACAGTAGCAGAACAACTGCCCCTGCCAGAGTGTCAAATTCAACAAGTTTTTTTTCTGTTCCACATTATAATTGCGTGTGTGAGTGTCTGCAGCAGTGTAGCCTCTTGGCAGGTGAGCCAGCTGAAGGTAACTAAAACTTTTCCTGAGTCACTAAGTTAATTTGGTGAGGGTAGCAGTCATGTTAGCATCCATTAGCTCTGTGACTGGATCTTCATCTCAAATGGGAAAGCAGTTCTGTCCCCCTAACTGTTGGTCTGACCACTTCTCAGCAGCTGCACATTTTTGGTTTGTCTGACTTTTTGTAACACATCTAGGACATTCTGTTTGTTTTCTATTCACCTGCACTCCTACATCTCTTATTTTTATTGATCCTATGATGTTGATATACAGAAATTATATAACTCTTCAAGTGACTGCGTATTTTAGTTTTTGACACAAGGCGGTGTTTACCCAACATTCTGTTCATCACAGCACAGAAGAAACAGCCCCTTTAAATAGTGATTTACAAACCTTTCGATCTGACATTTTCATATCAGAGAACCCTTGGTTCTGATAAATGAGCCAATTCATCTGAACATTGGTATGCTCCGTCTTTTTAGTATTTCTTTCACTCATCAGCTTTGGTTTAGTCTACATATTTCTTCCTCTTGCTTCTGAGTACTTTACTCCCATGAAAGAGGCAATATTTATTGGCTGTTACCTTCTGGAGGTCTAAATTTTATTGCAACAAGATAACAGATAACAATAGGCCATTTCTGATTAGATTAGATTTTATCTCCATCCATTGGAAAAAAAATATAATAAAATCACAATTTGCATAGATAAAAGAACCTAGACAGAATGAGAGCATTACAACCCTTTCATTCAGAAAAGTTTACAGTTGCCTGTGAAACGGCTTTGCTGTCAAGTGGTCTGCCAGTAGCAAAACACAGGCTCCAGCACATCTTGCCCATTGCTGGATTTCTATCAGCCAGATCATGGTGCAGAGTCAAGTGCACTTACGCTGGTGAATGACCTCTTCCAGGTCACCTCCATCCAGCCCCATCCTGCAGAATGTAAAAGCCTGCAAGCTGGACTTCTGGACACAGTGTCAGAGCATCTTTAGTATCAACAATTCATCCAGTAGCTGCAATTTGCTGGTGGTGTACCTGTACTTGTACAATGGGAAAAAGCTCCCTTCAGTACAATAATTTTGCTTGCTTGTTCTTTGCTTGCTGACTGGGGCAGTACAGCCACATCACACTGATGCTTGTCTCAGCACCAGTCACCAACAAAAGTAAAGTCCAGTTCCAGGTCTTAAGATAGGAAGGTGCTCCCTGAGACAGGTCACTCCTTTCTGTCCACGACAGCACCTTACCTTAACATTTACACCCTCTTGGAGTAGCAGTGTTATTACCAATAAGAGGAACTCAACAGAACTAGATTAAACCATGCCCCTTACTCACAGAAGAGATGGGAACAACTGCAGGCTTTGTGAGTGGAAACCAAAGGCAAATCTCATTTCTGCAAGTCAGCATTTCTTTAGTAGCATTTTAAACATATACCAGGGAGTCTGAAGCAGTAATACATGTTCTGAAGCTTAGTCCTGTTGCCGAGGAGAGGAAGAGAACAGTCTTTCTTTCTGAGACTGCTATTCCTCCTGCCTTATGCTAGGGAGGCACCTGGACCTGATGTCACAAGCTCTTCCATCAGCAACCTTAACGATGATGCTGGTAACTCCTTCCTCTCCCCTCTCTGGAGCCACCTGGAATGGGATTCCCACAGGAGGTCTTTGTGATGTGAACAACCCACTGTGAAAACTGAAAACCAGCACAAAGGAGCTTGCTGTTTCCTCCCCAAGGTCAGGAAGAAAAGCTTCCAACTTCTCAGTTGCATGTGGACAGAGTAGTCATATTTGTCTTGTCTTGAGGTTCCCAAGAGAGGCCAAAACTAAGCTACAACAGAATTTTACATTTCAGCAAGGATATACTGTGGTCTTTCAAGGAAAAATAAAAACAGTGCTGCTGTTCATAGCTTGAGCCACCACTGGAGCAACACGGCAATGTCTTTTTCATAAGCCAGATTGTCTGTACTTGCTAACAGGACCAGTGCTCTCACATGAAATCAGACAGCTTTTGTTCTCTGTGAAGCTTGCACAACTCTCCCATCTTTCCACCTGCAACAAGCACTTCAACAGCTTTGGTCATGCTTCCTCTGTGTGGGGTCCTCTACTCTGTGCCATTTTATGAGACTTTTAATGCTATGCAGGCAGAAATTTGAGTCAAAATCCCAGATCGCATTTTAGAAATACTTTGCAAATCCAGAGCGTACTGCCTACCGCCAGTTGAGCATTCTGAGTTACAAAAAGCAGTGGACATTGTTTAGAGGGCTTATATTTCTTAGCAATTTGTAAACTATTATGGTGTTGAGTTAATTTTTGCAGTGTTTTCTTTTTTCCACCTGATTTCCATATGACCACTCTTACAAGGCTTAAGAGGCAATCTGCTAATAGTGAGGTCAAAATCTAGAAATATGGTGAAATCTTCTATTAATTCCAGCTCTGAGATAGTGGTGTACAATGAACTATAGCTATCAAACATCTGAAAATCTGAGATGAGCAAGAAAAAGCCTTAAAAATTGTTCGGGCATGATTTCTGAAGCAAAAAAGGGAAGTGTTTGGTGAAATGCATCTGTATGAATCCTCATTTCTTCTGACTTTACTACTCTTCTAACAGGAAAATATTGTGAGCCTGACTTCACTAAAATTTTCATATTCAAAATTCCAGTCCTGGAGTAGAACACCTAGTTAGCTGTTAACTAACTAGGAGGATTAGGTTGAAGGCATTCAAACCTGCTCCTGGGGAAGCAGCAGCATGTGGCATCCATGACTGTGGGTAGTTTAGAGGTGTGCCAGCAGGAGTGCAGAGTTGGGATGCAGGCCAGCACCACTGCTGGGGCACATCACAGAGTGGACTTGCACCTAGGCAGGAGAAGGCAGCAATGGCCCCACACTGGAAGCATGCTGCCAGGCTGCCTTCCTCCCTCCCCATCTGCTGGGAAGGTGGATATGATCAAGCCAATTGTCCTGCCCATTAAAACAACTGGAACAGCAATTGCAAAGTGAAGGTGAGACTGAGAGGGGTCAGTGGCAATGCTTGGATGTGACGGATTTGTTTAGCTTGTCACAGAAATGGACACTAGCGTTTAAATTTCAAATGCATTGGTCTCTGCAAGAGTTATGGTTTTCAGCTTGTGATTTCCTCTAAAAAATATTTATCTCTTTTATCCTTTTATTGTTTTGTTAGGCTTTTTTTTCAAACAGTTAAGGACACTTGGATACTGACACTGGAGAATGAATTATTCTATGGCAGGAGGCAATAATGAGTAAATTCATTCATTTTTCTTTCAGAGAGTAGGGAGCAGAGGGTAGGGAGACAGGGGAGGAAGCGCTAAATGTTCAATTGACCAAATGAACTAATGGGCTAACCTTTGGGGGATGCTTTATATGACATATTACCATGCAATTAAATGGTAGTATGGTATTATAGTATTATCAAATTCCATTTAATTTCCTATAAGCTCTCATGATGAAAATGCAGGTGAAAATTGATTCTATTGATCTCTCTTGCTCTGATGTACTGAACAGTCCTCAAGTGGACAAGTGACTGTTTTCCTTAGGTTAGTTACATGAGTGTCATCTGGACTTACACACTGTAAGGTAATGATTTGCTCATGTAAATGGCTTCACTGAGGCAACTTCATGTATGCGTGCCTCCCTCCTGGGGCATACTTGAGATATCATATTAGTCAATGTAGAATGAGGATAGCTTGCAATGTTTTTGTTTTATATACTAAATTTTTGTTGTTGTTTTCTTACAGTATTGCCAAAATCCACGAGGATGACTAATATTTTTCAGAGTACATAAGTGAGTCACTTTTTAAAGTGGTTAAAAAAACACTTTAGAAGATTGAAATGCTATGTTTGTGTGTGTGAAATTAGTACCACAGGTTTAAACAGCATTGTTTTGCCTTCTTGTATCAGTCTTCAACCACTAACACT